CACGTTGCTGACGTTCGCAGGCCGACGTGAGGAGTATTCGATAGAGAGAGCCGCTTGCGCTCGCAGCCTCGTCCGTAGTGCGGAGGGAGCGTGCGTGTGTTTTTTTATTGTTTGCATCGACCGCACTAACCGGCTGACCAATGAAAAGACGTCAGTCTTAGTGCGGTTGAAAACACAAAACACTTCTATCTGCCATGAGCTGGGACCCCGTGAGGGGACAGGTGAGGCTAAAATATCCTGCGGATCAAAGACAGAAAAGGTGGCAACAGAACAAAAATGCACGCGTCTACGAAGGCTATTACCTTGTACTCGAGTTAATTTAGGAGTACTTTCACCATTATCCTCCATGGTGTGTGTATTTCTTGCGTATTGAAGTATCGACCACGGTAATATCCTGCTGAACAACGTAAGAGCGCACACCAGGACACAATACATGTGGAGGGTGTGGTTTCTACAATGTACACAACAGTGTCGATTGGGTATCTGCTCAACAGTTACGTTTAGTCAGTCAGCGAACTCAATCATCTTGCCGTCGTCAACTGTCGGCGCTGGTTCCGTACACGTCTCACTCGTATTTCCATACGGACAAGGGTGTACCACATCTCTTTTGTCCCCAACATATCCGAACCTCGTGAGTCTCTGACAGCAGAATCTGTGGCAGTCCCCCGCTACATCGCAACACCATGACATCATGGGAATTCTTCCCATGCAAACGCGTACCACGTTCGAACCCACGAATCCTTACGGAAACGGGCATGCATGACCATCAACACGTGCTAGGCTCGCCAAAACCCTCCCCGCTCCAGCAGCAAAGGTCCTGCTTACCCCCTCCTTGAACACGCCATGCCTCCTCTGTTAGGCGTTTGCCACCGTTGAAGATTCGACAACCGCAGTAGCACAACTGCTCGAGCTTCTCGATGCTGCGGGCGGGTCGGTGACGGCGCTAACGGGCGCCGGCATGTCGACCGATAGCGGCATCCCGGACTACCGCGGCCCCAACGGGTCGTACTCGCGGGGGCACAAGCCAATGACGCACGACGAGTTTTTGTCGTCCGAGGACAACAGAAAAAGGTACACGTAAAGAAGAGAAGCAAATGAGCCGGAAAAGGGTATGAGTACGGAACGAAACGCCGGTTCTCTTGACTGGTTCCCGTTACGTCGAGACTCTTGTGCCTCCTTAACACCTTTCCCTTCGCGCCTGTTCAGGTGTCTATTGAAACAACAGCTGTCTGTGGAAGAATTGAATTCTTGGTGCTTTGCAAGAACTAAAAATGGAACAGTTCCGTTCTCGTCCCCGTTGTTCATGATTCCTTCAAACCCCGTCCCCCCTGTCGCCTGACCATGTTTGTGCAAACCCAACTCTACAAATTCTCTGATGCAGGTACTGGGCTCGATCCACGTTCGGATGGGATAGCTTCAGTAGAGCTAGGCCAAACGAAGCTCACGTTGCGCTGGCCCGGCTAGAAGCGGCGGGAAAGGTGGACTCTGTCATAACACAGGTTTGTACTCTTGTATTAGCATCCTGTGTCTGTTACATGTGCTTGCAGTTGTAGCGAGAGGTCAGGATTCTGTTGGTCGTTTGCTGTCGGTTTTTTTTTTTGCTGTTGCTTTTCTTAACATTGATTTTCTTGTTGTTTGAGTTGATTTATGGTTGATAATGTTGTTTCCCCCTGTTCTGCCAAAGCCTCCTCCGCCGCAAGCGTCTTGTGCCAACATCTGCAGCCCCGTTCCCTCCGTATCGCTGCTTGATTTACTGTTCCTGCTTTGACGGGCGCGTCACGAGAATTCGCAGAATGTGGACGGGCTCCACCAAAAGGCCGGAAGCCGGAAAGTTGTCAACTTGCATGGCAGAAACGACAAGGTGCGCGTTCGTTCGGCACATCCACTCCGCTATCGATCTTTGCACGATGCCTTTATGTTTTCTTCGTCGTTCGTTCACAACCAAGCCGACTTCCCTCTCTCTTTTTCATGGAGCAACCAGTGCAGGGGGTGTGGTATCTTGTGTCACCTGATCGCCTCGAACGGTTTGCGTGTTTTTGCTCGGACGAACGTCAATGCATACATACCCCCGAGGGCACGAGAGCCGTTGAAAACAGGGGTTTGTGGGCAGAGTACGCCGAACCCCACCAGTGGGCCGTCCGCGCTTTTGTGAACCGGCTTCAGGCGACGATATAGTCGCTCGTGGGTTCGTCAATAGTGTGGACCTCCTGTTGCCTCTTTGTCACGGCGTGCAGCACCACATCGTTGTTGTTGTTGCTGTTGTTGTTTATCACATTAGCTCTATTGTCCACAAAAAATGGGGAGCCCGTGGTCTACAAACCCGGCACATACGACGCCGCGGGGAAACAAAAACAAAAATGGGGTACAAACCACTCGGAAAGAAATCAACATGATAGAAAGAAAAGAACAGGTACCGCGCCGACCGGTCGAGAAAAGAGCCCTCGGAAACCGATCAAAATACAATAAACACAAAGGAGGACGCTTCCCACACCCGCCTAAAAAACCAACGGGTAACGTACCAGCACCAGGCACTACGCACCAGGGCATGGGAGCAACGAGGCCAACAGACAAAGAGGCGGCAGATGGGCAGACAGCCAGATGTACAAAAACAAAAGCAACAGTAAAAGCGAGATCAAGGTACCCAACACGGCAGAGTAGGCAGGGAGGACATGAGAAAAAAGAAACATAGCACAGAGGCCGAAGGCAATACAAAGGACATACATAAAGGTGTATAGTATACAGCAGGGAGGGAAACAGGGCGCAACAACATCAGCCGGGTACATGGTTCGCCACAAGTGCTGCCTCGGCCGCCCTACTCGTTTCTACAGCAGTGCCCGGTCGCCGTTTCTTCCCCACCACCGCCGCTTCCCCGACTCTCTTTCTCTTCGGTCCCGAGATGGCCGTACTCTCTGCTTCTGCTTCCCTCGCGCGCTTGCGTTTCGCGGACGCTTCCGCCTCCTGACTGAGCCATTTCCTCATGAACCATGCCGCCCCGTCCTCGACCTTGTTGTACCACACCTCCGGGTCCTTGGCGCTCTCTTCCATTTCCCCCCTTCCTTTTCGTCTCCCATGTTGAAGGCCACGAGGTCCTCTCCTAGACGAGACACCCAGTCGCTCTCCTGCCCGCCCCGGTATCCCACGCCCCCCGCCATCGCTCCTA